CATTAGGAATAAAAAATATCGTAAGTAACACGAGAATAAAGGCAGCCAATTTCTTTACGATGATTTTTGTGACACTCGTTCCGGTCTCGGGGCGCCTACGGCGCCCTCGACCTCCACTCGTGTCACAAAAATCACCGTAAAGAAATGGCTGCCTTTCTCCTCTTGTTGCTTAATATACTATTATTTTTATGAATTTTTACTGTTTCAATGAATTTTTTTCTTTGATTTGTAAACTCCAGTTCCTAATTTCGTTTCGCGTAATGGAAGTGTTTTGTTTTCTTGAATAAATATTATTAACCTCGATTTACCTGTATCAAAACAAGTAATTTCAATAACAGGTATGAGTAAAAATATTATTTATTTATTTATTAAAGCAGTTTAAAGTAATTATTTGCTTATTTACACTATTTATAATTATTCACAGTCGAAAATTAACTTTTTCAAATAAATTATTTAACCTTTAAATTACAAATTTTTAAATTGTTTGTATATAAAACTAAAGAAAGAATTAAACTCAAATATCTATAAAATAATCATTTTCAAGCTTTATTAAAAAGATCTAAATAAAAAATTTCCAAAAAATTTAATTAAAAAAGAAAATTTTAACATATTCAAAAGTTACCACTTTGTGGAGAATCACTCATATAGTAATTATTGACAACAAATTGCTTTCTTATTTCTTTTATACTACTATCAGTAGCATTTTTTACTCTATCTTTAAATTTTCTTCAGTTTTATTATTCTTCTAGTGACTATTTAAACAATATTATTATGTATAAAAGTCTCATAAATGTTTTAAAGGTGCATGTAATGTAATCGAGAATGTAATTATTCGTTAATTGTTTGACATTATTATTATTCGTAATAGCAAATTTTTTTGATAAATTAATTTCACAAAGAATTTTGTAAAATCTATTTATATTTAAATGAAAAATTATAGAATATAAATTTGTTATAAAAATGTAGAAATTTCATTAATTAAGCTTAAAATTATTGCTTTAATCTTTCATTTAAAAAGTAATTTTTAAGCCTTTCCTTATGCTTGTAACTTTGAAACCTTCTGACTACGACATTTTGCGTACCCAGTGAGTCCCCTGTGAGTCACCAGTTACATCACATGTTCTTCAATTATTTGTCACAGTTCTGTAACAGATCTGTAACAGTGTTTGCTGGGCAGTATGCATGAAAAGTATATGAGATGGACAATGGGGGTGAGTATGAAATGTCCAGGATACGTGTTAAGGGAGGAGATAGGCAGAAAGAAAATGATAGTAAGGCAAAGAAAAAGAGCATTGGGATTTGAAGAGAGGTTGCGAAATGGAAAAGGAAATAAGTGGACTCAGCTGTTCAGAGAAATTATTGAAAAGGGAACGGGGGGAAAGAAATGTCGAGGTTGGAAAAGGGGAGAAGAATGGTTTTAGAGAAAGGTAGAAAGGACGGAAAGGAATAGTATGGTTTAGAGGAAGGATGGAAAGAAAGAGATGCAGAAGATAGATGGAAAAAGATTGGAAAATCAAAAAAAAAAACAAATGGTATAAGTATGGAGTGGGAGTGCCAAAGTACTTATTTAAAAAGAAAAGGGAAACGATTTAGAAAAGGGTTCTAAAGTATAGAATGGGTGAAAGGATGAGGGAGTGTTAGAAAGATATATGAAAATGTGCAGAGTGTGTCAGTATGACTTGGAGGCATGGGAGCATGTGTTGGAAAGATGTAGTAGAGGAATGACTGAAATGGATGAAAATTGGAGTATGAATGAAAAAGTTAGATGGATTTTGGATTAAAATGGGCAAGGGGTAAAATAGATGAAAGAGTTAAATGAAAAATGTGGGTTATTAGAAGTATCAGAAGTGGGCGATAACGTTGGGCATAATTAAGGCCAAAAAGGGTCAAAAAGACAGGAAACGGAAGCCCGGTCTCTGGAAAAGAATGGATAAATGAGTGCGTGATATGGAATTGTATGTATTAGGTTATACTTGTTCTAAATTTAGGTTAAGGCAAATGTAAATATAGGTTAAGACAAATGTATGTATATAGGTTAAGATGTATTTGTGAAAATTTTTGTATTTGTATCCTCAAACCCTGCTCGTTGCGGGGAAAGTAAATAAATATAATAAAAAAAATAAATATGAGTATTAAGCGTAATAACGTTTAATATTCATATTTATTTTTTCAAATCCATCGTCCAAATATAAAAAAATCAAATTTTGAAGTGCATTTACTTCAGAGAAAAAAAATGTCAAAGTCACATGTTGCCTGAAAGCATATTATTAAAATAATATTATATTAATATGTTATATTAATATATTTTATTATTAAACTATAGACTCCCTGACAAAGCTGGCTCATACGATACTCGCCCTAATTGGAATACCAAAGTACCCAAATATTATTTCGTTGATGGAACAATTTATTCAAAATTAAGTAAAAAAATGCATTTACTTCGTTTTTAATAAGGAAAGAATGGCGTTTTTACTTTTTTATTATCTTAAAAAATGTGACCAAAAGATTAGAAAAACCGAAAAAATACTCAAAACTACTTTAAAAAATGACATACACTACCTTCGGAAATTATCGATACTGCTCCACGCGCATGGCTCAAAAACATACCAATCTTTAAATCACGATTTTTCCTTAAAACCAATTATCAGAAAATTAACCAATATACTATTCGAAAGCTTATAATTATATAAGTTATAATATATTAACTCCTGTATATTTTTTAAAAATTGTATAAAAAATTTAAAACTTATATGACGGGTTCCACGTTAAGTGACCCAGGTCAAAATTTTAAATGTTTGGGATCGGGTTAAAATTTTGCAGAAACAGTAGTCCTATTAGATACAATTAAAAATACCAAATATTATTAATTTATTTAAACAAATATTAAAACTGGAGGGGGTCAAAGTTTAAATTTTTGGTCTAACATGGAATATTTGAAAAATTTGTAGTTTCTTTAAAACAAAACGAAAATACGTTTTCTATTTTGGGTTTTTCTGCTGTTTTTCAACACTCTCTAATGGTGTAAACAAATGTAGAGAAAAAAAATGTTAGACCTTGAAAAATTAAATTAAAAAATAAAATTTCATTTTTTCATCAAATGGACAGTTTTTATTTTTTAAAAAAAATTTTTATCATAAAGGTGACGTTTTTTCCTAAAAAAAATGTATAGGTCAAAACGTGGGACAAGAACTTTTAACTGGTCAAAATAAACATTTACTGCTGCAATCCACCGCCCCTGTTCGTTGTTGGGCTATATATTGTTTATAACAATTGAAATAAATTATTTTATGCTTTATTAATTATCTGGTGGTCATATTGGATGAATTTAAATTGATTTAGATCATGTGCATCAACGAAATAAGAAAATAAACCTCCTTTTTTTTAAAAAGTGTATTAATTTGTTAACTTTGATTTAAAAAAAATTATAAATAATTAAAATCTCCAAAATCTGCCTCGAAGGATGTCTTAAGAATTTATTCCCCTTTAACTTAAGACAAAGAACACTCAAATCGGTTAAAAATTGTAAGCTATAGACATTTTTTAATAGTAAATTGTAAAAAAAATTCCACTGTGGGACGGTGCACGGCAGAAGTAAATGCTTAATTTGACTAGTTCAAAGTTCTTGTCCCACGTTTTGACCTATACATTTTTTTTAGGAAAAAACCTCACCTTTATGATAAAATTTTTTTTAAAAAAATACAAACTGCCCATTTGATAAAAAAATGAAATTTTATTTTTTAATTTAATTTTTCAAGGTCAAACAATTTTTTTTCTCTACATTTGTTCACACTATTAGAAAGTGTTAAAAAACAGCAGCAAAACCCAAAATAGAAAACGTATTTTCGTTTTGTTTTAAAGAAACTACAAATTTTTCAAATATTCCATGTAAATTTTTGACCTGGGTCACTTGACGTGGAACCCGTCATATAGATGTCCTCATTGAAGTTTCAACTTTAATTTAAGACCAAAAAAGAAAAAAAAATCTTATTCGGTTCGCGAGATATCATTATAAATGTTGAGCATGTTTTTGGATAAATGCATTGAAATAGTCAATTTTATACGGTTTTTGACTGATTTTGTCGATTGCTAATATCTTTGTGTAATTTATTAAAGTTTTCAAATGTACACGGAAAGAGATCTGCTAGTATTATACCATTGGGCGGCCAAAAGACTTATTCTATCGGACCCCCACTACTACTTTTCAGGCGAGTAGATTCTATTAGTCCATCGCTGCATAGTATTATTCTACGCAGAGATGTTCTAATTCCATCTACTCGGCCTGAAAAATAGTGGTGGCGTCAGATGGCATAATCTATTGGCCGCCCAATGGTATAAGTATAATACTAGCAGATTTCTTTCCGTGTATATCATTTAACTTAGAATATTATATTAATTTTCTGTCATTCGTTTTTACAGAAAAATCGTGATTTAAAGATTGGTATGTTTTTTGGGTCATGCGCGTGGAGCCGTGCCGATAATTTTTAACGGTAGTGTAGTTTGAATTTTTAGTGGTGTTCCAAAATACCCCAGTTTAGTTGGGGAGACTAGGCTTAAAATTAGTCCACCAATTCTAGTTGACAAAATTAAGGTTTTTTCTTGCTACACGAATAAACGAAGGTGATTCTTACAGGATTTTTGCAGTAGATTACGAATATGCGAGTAAAATTGTCCCATCACGTCTCAATTTTGAGAAAAACTGGGTCAAAGTGTCAAAATATGACATTTTTGGCACTTTTTGAAGCACTATAAAAAAAGAACGCGACGTGATTAAAAGCTCAAATATGGCTTTAATGAGTGCTCGAACCTTCAACTTTAACTCAACTTTTTTTACTTTAAAAGCAAAAAACTATGTAGCAATAACTCAAAATTGTGGGGAACAACTTTTTACCAATTTACCCTATATGATCGCAAAAATCCTGTAAGAATCACTTTCGTTTATTCTTGTAGCAAAATTTTATGGAACAGTGATTATTCATTTAAATATGATTAAAAATTTATAGATACTGGAAAACAGGGTAAAGGATACGTATCAATTCACAATATTTGTGGAGATCTCAATAAAGGATACATCCCTCGAAATCCTATGAAACAAAATTTCAAAGGATCGTCGTATCCCTTGTGAGTTGGAAGATTTGTTACTATACATAGTTATTATTTTCTACTTTCAAAAAATTAGTTTTTACATTTTTTCATCTTATTTTACAGTTTTTTTTAATTTTTCTAAAGAAATGCTCAGTTAACTCTTTACGCTGTGGATTTCACAAAATTTATATTTTTCTCTGGATTAATAATTATTACGATCAAAGAAAGACACTTACGGATTTTATTCCACTGATTTTCTACTAAACTTTAAAATAGTATATTTAATATATCCTATCAATTAAAAAATAGTTATTTATGATACAAGTGCGTAAAATCGTTGATTATACGAGTGTGACGTTTGCAGCTCGAGCCGAAGGCGAGTGCTGCAAGTCACACAAGTATAATCTGATTTACGCACGAGTGTCATACAAAATTTTTTGCAACACTAAAACAACTAAACTTGCAGCAATATTGCCAATATTACTGAAAGTTTAGGTGTAGTGGGGGAACTGTTAAATGAAGTTTTCTAGAAGCTAAAATAAAAATGTGATTGTAAATTGTTGTTTAAAAGCTTTAATTCATGGTTTCTCATCAAACAGTCACAAGAATGCGTAAAGTAATCATTTTACGCACTGAAAATCACTTTACACACTAGAATTCATTTAACACACTGCTAGCGGTGTGTGAAGTAACACTTTACACACCGCTATAAAATGAAGTACTTTACACACAGTTTTCTGTGTGTAAAATTCAATTTTACAGGTTAGTGTTGCAAAATAGATATTTTTTATATATCGGGATTAAGCTAATAAACTAACTTTAATTAAATAAAATTATATAGTTTTTTATAATAATAAGAAAACGTTGTAATATAAGAAAACGTTGAATTTATTTTTTCTAAATTGTGGAATATTTTAATAAAATTTAATAAATTAATTATTAAAATAAAGTTTCATTCTTTTTTACAGTGAATTAATACGAAATCACACCTTAAAATTCTTAAGTAAAGCTCTACCAATACTCAAAGCTGATGATTCACTGCCAAAAGTTGCTAAAGTGCAACCTTATTCTCAAAATTCGTAAGTAAAATAATTTAAAAATTAGTATAAGTTACTAAAAACAAAACAAATGAAGAAACGTGAGATTATATTTTTAAATTTCCTACTTTAGAGTTGATACGAACGAGAAAAGAAGTAGAAGTAAACGAGCCGTAAATTCAGAAACTAAAGTGGAAAACCGTACAGGAAGGAAATTGTGTGAAAACCAAAGTGGAGTGTAAGTTACTTTTCGCACTACTTCTTGAAAACTGATTTTCATTTCAAAATTTTGAGTTTTATTAAAAATCAAATTAAATAAGATATTGAAAATCCGAACCAATAATTTTCTGAAACTTAATAGCATGTTATCATCAAGGTTGTAAATATTAACCCTTTGCGTCACAGTGGGTCGCTCAGCGACCCACCTTTTCCTTCTCAGTTTTCAGTATTTCTATGGCATATTTATTAATAAATTTAGGGTTTTTTTTCCGGGCATGTTCCTCATACCTAAACAAGTCTAAGAAAACTGTTGATTTACAATTTGTTAACAATAAAAATATTATAAACAAATAGATAACAAAAAATAATGCTTCTTTTTCAGAAAAAATTCATTTTCTACTTATCCTTACTAATTTTTGAGATGATAATTTTTTTTCTTTACAAATTAGATCCTAAACTTTATTTAGAATTACTTTTTTTATTTTTTTTATAATTTTTAATAATAAATAACAATTTTTTGTAATATTTTATAAAATAAAAGTATTTCAGATGAAATTTCAAACCTATTTTCATAAAACTCGTTACTCGGGGGTTTTTGGTGTCGCTGAATACGAATCTAGCATCAGATTTTTAAAATTCAAAATGGCGGATCCAATATGGCGGACGCGAAAATTAAAAATGAACTGAATTTGCTTGAAACTGGTTACTCAGGGGTTTTTGGGGTCTCTGAATACGAATCTGGCATCAGATTTTTAAAATTCAAAATGGCGGATCCAATATGGCGGACGCGAAAATTAAAAATAAACTGAATTTGCTTGGAACTGGTTACTCAGGGGTTTTTGGGGTCGCTGAATACGAATCTGGCATGAGTATTAATAAATTTATTAATAAACTTAGAAGATTCAAAGCGTTCGGATAAAATTAAAGAGTAAAATCAAAAGTGAATGAATCCTGACAATCCACAGTCAGGTAACTCGTTTAACGTAAAATCCTCTTTATAGTATTTGTCTATAAAAAAAAGAATTAATTTTTTGATACTGAATATAATGTACCATTTTTGACAATCCGATTGAACAAACTGTAGATATTAGTAAAGATTTGCTAACCGATGAGTAACTGAAAATGTCAAACTTAATGCAGGATGTGATGTAAAAAAACACAAACAATAATACTGCTTCTATTTATTTATTTTATTTATATTGTTTATACTCCTGCCCTATTGGCCTTACGCACTTCGACAAGAGTCCCCGAGAAATACTTTTTTGGATTAAGCATAACCATTCTACTTTAGAAATTTTCTATATATTAACCGAATTTGCGTCTACAGCCGACTTTATTAGGAGTACTCGCATTACGCCTGGACCACCCGTCAATGGGTTTTCTCGCCAGAGAAGAGGGAAACTGTAGAAAACCTCTCTGAGTACAACCGCTTTATCGACAGTCGAGTTCTAATGGTGTGTACCGGACAATAATCGACGGTGCACATCATTATACCTCGACGTCAAATCTCCCGCTCAGATTGTCTCACGTGCCGGAAAAATACCAAGCCAAGTGGGCGCGAACCAAGGATACTTATACCCTTGGTCCTTAAACGACCACCAACGCCAGGCATCTATCCGACTGAGCCAATCTGTCGGTCATAATACTGCTTCTACTCAACAAAATACCTTCTTTCAACGTAAAAGCTATATTAACATGTTGAGAGAATCGTTAATAATAGTTTCTCGAATGTCGTTTGTTTGAATGAAGTTGATACTTACCTTTGGAGGGAATCGTTCGTGTTAGTCTGTCGTTTGTCATTTGTTTGTTTGAAGTCGGTACTTACCTGTGGAGAGAATCGTTCGTGTAAGTCTGTCGTTTGTCATTTGTTTGTTTGAAGTCGGTACTTACCTGTAGAGATAATCGTTCGTGTAAGTCTGTTGATTGTGATTTGTCCGATTGTAGCCGATACTCACCTGTGGAGGAAATCGTTTGTGTTAATTGTGTCGATTGTCATTTGTTTGATTAAAGTCGGTACTTACCTGTGGAGAGAATAGTTCGTGAAAGTCTGTCGTTTGTCATTTGTTTGTTTGTCCGCCATATTGGATCCGCCATTTTGAATTTTGAAAGTCTGATACCAGATTCGTATTCAGCGACCCCAAAAAACCCCGAGTAACGAGTTCCAAGCAAATTCTGTTAATTTTTTATTTTCGCATCCGCCATATTGGATCCGCCATTTTGAATTTTGAAAATCTGATGCCAGATTCGTATTCAGCGACCCCAAAAACCCCCGAGTAACCAGTTTCAATAGATTTCAATGACATGAAAAATGTATGACTCAAAGGGTTAAGAGGCGAAACAATACAAGCTTGTGTAATTGAATTAGAATTAATAAGGCTGAACTCTACAACTTTTTTTAAAACAACAACGAAAAAATAATGCAACGTTTTATTTTATTTTTACTCCAAATTACATTTTATTTTATTATTATTAACTATAATAATCGTCGTATTCATTCTTTCAGTCTGTCCACACCTGAAGTAAGTCATGATTATGCTGTTGTTTTTTGATACGTTTTGATATAAATATTATACTACTTTCATTTTTTTAATTTATTTATATTATTTACATTTTTTAATTAAGGTAGTTGCACCAGTGAAAGAATTGACACCAGTAAAAGAACAAATTGATTATTAATCACGATATTTCACAAATTATAACTTTTAGCAATATAAAAAAATATTTTTTAGTTTCTTAATTCTTCAAAATAAATAGTTTATGATAAAAAAATAGATTCAATATGCAATTTATTTCTGAAAATAATTTTTTAATATTTTGATGGGTTATAAACATGTCAAATGAACGATGCATAAACAGAAAAAAAGGTTACAAGTTTCAGGTGCACTTAAATAATATTTCTGTCTTGAAACTTAGTTTGGATATACTTCCGATTAGTGCATATGTTTGATTTTAATAAAACATGGTATACTTACGTAATTTTGTGCCCTGATTACGAATATCATATAATATCATATATCCCTTAGTTTCCTTACGTAATTTTGTGCCCTGATTACGAAAAACACATCATAATGTAAATTGGCGACTAGGTCATCTTCATGGTAAAAACCATAAAAAACACCATAAAATTGTGATTTTTTTGCGTTTAACTCGTTGGATTGGATAAATCATAATTTTGATTGCGATATTTTTTGTTTTCGATTTAATTCTGAAAAACCCAAGGTAGATAAACTCCTTCCTCCTCCAAATAAAAGCAGAAAAACATTTACAAATATTTTTAAACACAAAAAATTATTAAGGAGGAAGGAGTCATCCACCTTGGGTTTCTCAGAATTAAATAGAAAACAAAAAATATCACAATTATCTCTCTAATCAATTAAATTTTGATAAAAAAATTTTCCAACCCAAAATGGATAACTCCTTTCTCCTCCATATGAAAGCAGAGAAAAATTTACAAATATTTTTAAAAACAAAAAATTATGATTAATCCAATCCAACGAGTTAAACGCAAAAATCCACAATTTTATAGCTACCATGAAGATGACCTAGTCGCTAATTTTCAATATGATTTTCGTAATCAGGGCACAAAATTACGTAAGGAAACTAAATTTCGTCGGATGGGTAAAGGAAGGTGCCAATTCAGACTAGTCGTGTAAATCGTGCCGTTTCAAAAAACACGTGAGAACCCTGCCATTTTAACTGAGATTTAAGAAACATGCCAACTCAAAATTGACGTTCATTTTTTTTATTTTAGGTTGACACTTGTCAGTACAGAAAAATTTGAAGAAAAGGTTATAGTTATACAAAAATGATTTTTCTAGTTGAATTTTGCATAATTGTTATTTTATTTTGAAAAAGGCAGATTTCTCACGTGTTTTTTGAAACGGCATGTTTTTCATGACTAGTCTGAATCGGCACCTTTCTGCACCCATTCGACGATTTCAAGACGATTGGCGGTTAGAGCGATTCGGAAGTATATCCGCACTTTTTATAATTTCGATTATATTTTGTCTGCTCGTCCTCTAGGTCAAAAGGTGTAGTAACGTTAGTTGCTCGGTCAAAGAAAATTAAGTGAAAATAAATTCATCCGACGAAAGTAATTCGAGTTATTCGAGTGTTGATAAACGGAGAAAAAAAATCAAAGCGTGAAAATAAAGTGTTATGGAAAGAGTTAGATAAGATAAAAAGAAAATTGAAAAAAAGGCGTCGATCACGTTCTCGTGATTCATCTTATGGAGAAGAAGATAGAAAAAAGCGTCGAAAGGATCATCGTTATTTCTAAAAATCGAGTGTAACCCCTGATAGAGACAACGGTGAGCTAGCTCGTGGAAGTTCATCACGTTGTAGTCAGAATTCTCAAAGACGCTCGAGAAACAAAAATTATTAGGAGAAGACCCTTTCAAAAATATATGTGTAGGACCTCCGATTTATCGAGCAATAGCGGACAGATATTTTGCAGAACGGATTACCTAAAGACAAAAAAGAGGAAACTTTGAAGAAATTTTCACCAGCAGAAAATTGCTTTATGCTGCAGGCTCCTAAACTAGGACCACATGTCCAATCTTCAATGAGCGCCATTTCAATCAAAAGAGATGCGTATCAAATGTTAGCTCAGAATCAACTTGGCAAGAGTATTTCGGTGTTAGGTACAGTGCTGACAGAAATGGTTAACCTGAAAAATGAAAAAGAAGATCAAGGACTGCTTGAAATAAATTTCAAAATTACAAAAAAATCGTTAAAAAATATTTTTTATTATTTTTATCAAAGTTTTTTCCTAGATTATGAATAAATAACACAAATATTAATTTTTAAACATTATTCCATGTAATTTCTAATTTGTTTAAACAAATTATTATTGTTTATTTCAGGGACCGACACGGACACGAAAAAAAACGAAAATTCGTATCGTGCCCGTGCCGTGCCTTGGCACGACACGAATAACGCTTGGTAATTCGTGCCGTGCCAAGACACAAATAAAATTTTTGAAATGTGTTGTGCCAAGGCACGTTTTAAAGGCACGCA